TGCCCGTAACAATCGAGTCTGGACCAGACAATCCAGTGATCAACAGCATGAGCATAGATCTGCGCAATTGGGAACCGATGACACGTGTCAACCAAGTCAGCAAGCCTGACCAACCCGACCCCGTTAGTGGCTTTTACTCTTAAGTTTGTCATCGTAATCTTTGACAAACAAATTTTCAAGTTCATAGCCAATATCTCACCATTGTCTTCAACGTTTTCGAGATATCGGCCATTTCTAATATATACCCTGATCTGCCTGTTCACGGTCACCTGTCAAACAATGACGTGTAACGTTCCTCGCTGACAGTCTGGTTTGTACTCTGCCGCTGGTGTTACTTGAAAATACCGTCCCCAGGTAGCTGGGTTGCTTTCAACATCTCCACAGAGCAAGGTTATCGACAATGTCAGTGCAGCGGCCATAAAAATTAAGAGTGTCGTGCCTCAACAGAAGGCATGTCCTGGGCCAAATAGCAGGGTACTGACACTTATTTAGCTCTGATTTAATATGAATGTGCTCAGTCCTTCGTTGGGCGCCAATGTACCGTGCTGGGATTCGAACCACGGACCTTCTGATCCGAAGTCATACGCCTTGTACACATGACCAAAGGTTACTCCCCTTCAGTAAGCTGACAAGGTAAGGAAGATATCTATGGGATGACTCCACATCAACACAAACAACCTCACACCCGATTTTTATACCTGCTTCTTCACTTGTTGACAAAACCTGTCGATTTGACCCCATCAAACATCAACCAACACGCTCATTATAATTCTGGGGATGCTAAATACATTCACACGTTTGTCTGTTTGAATGCTTGTATCTCTTATTATCTTCGTGTGTGTGTGTGTGTGTGTGTGTGTGTGTGTGTGTGTGTAGCATTGTGGTTAAAGTGTTCGCTCGTTACGCCGAAGACCCGGCCTGATTCCCCACGTGGTTACAATGTGTAAAGTCCATTTCTGGTGTCCCCGCCGTGATATTGCTGTCATATTGCTAACAGTGGCGTAAAAACTCACTCACTCACTCATGACATATATATTGCTGGAATATTGCTGAGTGTGGCGTAACACTTAACTCACTCACTCATGATACAGCAACAGGAGCCAACAGTATCCACTATCAGCTCCTGGGGCATTTACCCAACAGTTGTTTTGATACACTTTTGAACATTTTTATCATATTTGGACAACAGGGCACTTGCCCCCTTCCTGGCGTCATGCCATTGGTGTACCAATACCGAAGTCTTCCCGGGATCATATAGATTCATCAAACTACAGATGATCTGTCTTAGGAGAAAATATTTCCAATACCAGAGCATTTATAATATTGAATCACAAAAGACATAGCAAAATCAAAATTATATACATAAAAGAAATGTCGTCGTCAGCACAATCACTTTTTCCCCCATTCTGACGATTTCCGAGATGTTTACACGCAAAATGCTTATGCATTTTGAGGTCATGCAAGAGTATTGAGCAGCTGCCATAAATATTGTTCTCACTTTAACTGCTGAGGCGGCTAAAAAAAAAGTACCAACAGTAGGGGAAACAACTATTTCACTTTCATAAGTCATATGGTTTCTTAGATCAAGGGACCGGAACGGCGAACTGGGCTTTCAGTAACATTACTAGACAAAAACCTTCTTTCGCTCTGGCACCAATGTGCAGGTTGGTATGTGCGTCATTATTTAGATCATTATATGACCTCATGTAAGAATGTCCATCTCTGAATGGGTCATGTGAACTCGAACAAATTACCATGAGTAGTATAGCAATGGGGAAAACACCCTGCGGAGGTGCACCCAATAATAAGGCAATGGGGAAAAGTCTGTGGAGGCCCTTTTCGACTACTTTAGGTCCTCCTTTCTCCGTATACAGAAAATACAACAACATACGGCAACATACAGCATACGGCAACATACAGCATATGGCAACAGAAGACAAAAAAGTAGCTTACGCAAGGACAGTACGAGCCCACTCGGTTTCGACTACATTTCTGTGTGTTGGACTACATTTTGTGTTCTGTGTTTTGGAGTAGTATAGTAATGGGGAAACCCAGTGGAGGTGCACCTCCTGCCTCTAGGAGTCTCCAAACGGACTAGAAAGCTACCCACCTACAACTCGCCCCCACTTCACACACATACCCCCGATCGAAGTGCACCCAAATTAGAGATATACAGGTGTATGGATATAGAACAAACCGATACAACAATGCCAGGAAACAAGCTATCGCGAGAAGCCTATGCCAAGATCTGATCTGGCAATATGTCTCTTCGGAAGGCGAAGAAGAAGAGAAACATATATCGCAAGCCAGATATATGCGAAGCCGGGACAGCTCCAAAACAGACACCGAGACACAAACAGAGACACACACACACACAGAGACAACTTCCAACTAGGCAGAGGTCTTCGAGACCCTGCTAGTTGGGTTTCCCAATCTATTCCTTTCCGACAAAGAGAAACAAATCCTAGAGCAATAGGGACACACATTCTACGAGCGATACCAGATTCCTAGACAGATTCTCGAACTCTATTTGCTGCGGTAGATTTTGTCTACATATACCCACCAAACCAATTCCGACCTTGCACAGGCAAACTCCCGAATCGTTCTCGCCAACCGCCGAGAAACAAAGGGCAGATAAAGCCAATGCACCGACTGCCCTCTGCTGCTATATCGGAACTACCTACCCTATCCAAACCAGACAACTCTGCTTGCAAGTGTGGCGCCATAGACCACTGTGTTATCAGCAAGAAATGTATTCTCTGGAAAAACAAATACATTCCTACAACAGGACCCCCGGCAGATTGTCCCCACTAGAGGTTCTAGAAAGAAATCGAGATTCCCTACTGCATTGCAATTAAAAGAGAACCTGTACGACCAAGATTGTTTCGCCTGGTGCCTACGATACATATTCCTCTGCAATAGATATGCAGACAATTGTATATGCCCGAAGAAAGATTCATGTATCATCCGGAAGCTAGCTGGAAAGGAGCAGCCACTACCAAGCAATAGCAAATGTATTTCCCCATTGCCAAACTAAGGCAGGTTTACATGGCAGACGTCTTCCCGCGCAAACCTCGTATCTCCTCTATCTCTTTTTCGAAAGGTGTCATTTTGGTGACATTGTGTTTGGCAAATGTATATTCCTATCGCATCCCATATCTCTAATAGAAAAATGTGTTTACTTGGATTTTTCTAAACATTTTCCTGGGAATTCCCAAACCTAGGACTGGAACCAAAAAGACAACTTTTGGAAAGAGTGATAGAGGAGATACCAGGTTAGCGCAGGAAGTTTATCCACCGATCCATGTTAGTTTTTTTCTAAAAAACCTAAGGAAAGGACGCATAACACCCTGTATACCCTTCAGCATAATGCTACCACTTATAATGTAGCTAGGACATGACTGATGACAATACAAGATCAATAACTACGGAAAAATCTCAGGATCATTTATAGTTAAACACCCTCAATATCTTGCTGGATAGTTGCTACCCACTCACTCACATAAAATGATTAAACTCTGGAAATGGCTTTCATGATGAATGGTCTTGGAGAATGGCTTAAGCCGATGATTCCATTCGAAGAAGGCATCTGACCATCCACCGGGACAAACTTGAACCTCTGGATCATGGTGGTCAGGAAGAGGAACAACTCCATCCGGGCCATGGCTCGCCCAGACACACTCTTCGACCTGAAACATTTCAAACGTTTAGGTTTAAATCTCCTGCATTGAAATGTGTCAGGAAATACAAGACCTACTCTTACGAGATCGACGTTAGGTAAATTTTACATTTCGTTGATATTGCATCATTGGGACAGTTGACATTGACAGTGATATCAAGGCGTATGGCATGGTATCCGGCATAGCTCGATGTGTATATTAAAGTATTGGAAACAGTAAGTCTTAATTCATTGATACATTAAAATGTGTTGAACTCACCCAGAGAGAGAATGGAATAAACTCATCTTTCTTTACTATCTTGCCATTGTCGTCAAGGAAACGGTCAGGTCGAAAGTTGTCTGGGTCACCCACATCCGGGTCTTGTAGGACGGAATCAAGCATCAATATGACCAAGACACCTTTTGGGAACGTGTAGCCCCTGAACTGGACATCGTGGGGAACGGTGTGTGGGAGAGCTGTAGGGGCGATATCAGCTTGTCTCAAGACTTCCAAAATGGTTGCCTCCACGTAGGGCAGGTTGATCTTGTCCTTCATGGAGGGACGTCTACTCTGGCCAATGTTTTCTTTGATCTCCTGAAAACACTTTTCCTGTATTTCCGGGTAGCGGAGTAAGTAGACCATGGTCCATCGTATTGTAGTAGCTGTTGTTTCTGTTCCGGCCACAAAGAGGTCTGCGATAGCCTTTTTCAGGTTCTCCACTGAAACAAAGTACGAGGAATGCCTTTTATTTGTATTTCATTTGAAATATACTCTTAAAAAAGTTGTTGAACTTCAATGTAATTTACGATTGAACACAAAATTGGGAGATATATCGGAGTCAATCAATGTTGATATGATAATAATGAAAGTTTTGAAAGTGCATCACCACTTGCACTTCCTTATGACCATAGTTGTTTGTCGTCCCATGGCCAAACGAAAGGCAAAATGGAGTTAGAAAATCTATTACATACAACTACTTAACTTGGTTCAGTATGCTTACAGTCTAAGGTCGTGTCCTCTTCTTTCGCTTTGCGAAGTCTCATTTCCTTGATGTAGGCGTGGATGAAGTCGTCCACATTGTCATCGTCGTGATTCTTCACGTGTTGCTCTGTCATAGGGTCTATTAACAGTGATTCGACTTTCTTGACATTCTGCATTGTCTTCTTAAATTTGAATAGATCTCCTGGCAGAAAGCGCACAATAGGAAGCACATTCACTACTCCAGCCGAGCCCATATTTGCCAAAGCTTCGTCCATGGTTTTTAAAAATGTAATAAAAAGCGGGTCAGTATATTCAAATCGTTTGCTGAAAATAATAGAGCAGATGACATTCGACACTGCGTTGTGCACCAGATGTGTGCAGTCGAAGCCTTGTCCCCGGTCTGTCTCGAAGGCCTCGATAAACTGTGAGATTTCCTCGTGTATTTTGTCCTCCATGGTATTCCTGCCTGCTCCGAACTCCCTGAGAGTGTTAAGGGCGAATCGTCTTTGCTCGCGCCAGAGTTCTCCAGAGGTTCCAGTTATACCTGTAAAAGGAAGTACTTCAGCTCACAAATACCAACTGAAAAAACCCATAACATATTTTCTTCGAGATAAGAAAGTGGTGATTTGCTTTGAATGTATCGGGAGAACAATAATTTTACAATTCTTTACCCCCCTTTGTAGATACAACTACCAACAATCTTAGTTCAAAAGAAAGCAATAATCAACTGAGAATTAACCTTCTTAAAAAAGATCCCTTGTGATGGAATAATAAATACAATTATGCTGGACATGCTGGACCGTGATTCTTTCATCACGAAGGATCCTACCTTATAATTTATAGTCATGGGTATATCGTGTGTGAGTTAATATTTTATGTCACATCGGCAATATTTTCAGCCATATCATGACTAAATCAAGATTTTTAATAATTAAATTTACATTATAAGCACGTGTCAACGAAGGCCAGTGAAACAACTAGGCTATCACAGATATTAATAAGTTAAAACTAGTAATAAAAGCCTAAAACAGTATAATTATAGAAGACGATACAAAATAAAAACGGGCTATAGATTGCCAACAGCCGAAGGTAGATCACCATACCAGGGACCATGGGGACTTACAGTACATTTGCTTCCTGCATGGACCCAAGTTGGATTCACACCATCTCTTCAGCCGTTAGCAATTTTTGACAGACAGCCTAAGAAGACAACCCAGCCTATAGTTGGGTTTATTGCATTTATACCTACTTCGGTGTCCCACTTCTTTTGCATTAGATCCCGGATGTAACATGTAATGGCAAGTGTAAAATCACTGTATAGTATAAAAAGTGGCGTCACAGATTTGATGAGGGCTGATAATACTTGTAAAAACTGTAATTCGTTTGTTTCTGATTTTTAAACGTGGCCAATGTAAGGTCGACTTGTGGCCTTACTAATTGCCAAGGAGGAGAAGAAATCATGCGGAAAGGAGATATATTTTCCAGCTCAATGTTAGCAGCAGTAATGAATGATTTTATGCGTATTCGGGGAGGTGGAATAAGTGAGGATTTTGTAACATACAGATCGTCATATAGCGGATTAAACACACATTTGCATGCAGGGTTGGACTCATTTGAATAATGTTTTGTAACATACTCCAAAGATAGTTTAATACCGCGTTGATGGCACGTCTGCTTCAACGTAGAGAACCCGTAAAGACCCGGGTTAGAATTGATCTTCAGTAACCAACCCATGCTTGTTGTATGAGGCGACTAACGGGACCGGGTGGTCATACTCTCACGACCAGCAATGGGGTGCTGTGGACACATTCTGCCCTGAGTCCACACAGGGTAAGAGCTAGCGTTACCAAGCACTTACCCGTTACCTAGGAGGTGCACATATTTGGAATTTTGAAATGTATCCTTTAATCAATTTTTGACGAATGCACAAATTATTGATTTGTTTTCTTTCCTAAAGTCCTATGCTAGTAGGATTGGGTATACCCTCCAGGTATCCTTGGTATTGTCTGTTGGAGATCCACAGAGTGAGTGAGTGAGTTAAAATTTAAAGCCACATCGGCAATATTTCAGCCATATCGTGACTAATATTGGAAACGTCGTAATATTGGAAATAACATTTAAGTATCAATGGCGTATTTGAACCTACTTTTTTAAAAAATACACTGGAAGTCAAGTTTGAGGAAAACATGAGTCGTGGTCGTATAGCCTGTATTGCCCAATTAAGTATTGTTTGAGATTGAGGTTTGAAATATTTTTGTTTGTGGAAAGGGAAACGTTTGCACAAACACAACATTAAAATTGAGATGCACGTGCATCATGCATGCATTCAGCCATAAATTGCCAGCTTGAATGGCAATCGTTCAGTCGAACACAACAGCTATGGCTAGGTTAACGAGAGATCAACAACAAGCCATTGGACGTCTAGACGCTGATCAACGTGCTCGAGTCATTGCTAATGACTTCAATTGCAGCGTACGAACGATAGGACGTCTTAGACAGCGATGCAACGCCGCCAACAGCACTGATGACCGTCCACGTAGTGGTCGAGCCCGCGTAACAACATGTCGCCAGGACCGTCATATTGTCCACCAACACCAACAGCCCCCTGAAATTGAACCATTTTGCCATTGCAAAGGGTATAGAAGATTTGTCTTACGATATAAAAGTAATTAAAAAAACAACGATCGGGATCTCTCCTTATTGAATACAAGAAATAATATCTCAAATCCTGCTTTCAGCAAAATCACAGGCTAATGTTCTTGTCAAGGTCACTACTCACAGGACACTCCCACGCTGTGAAACGTTTCAATTTTGAAAGAGAAAATGAAACTCTAAAAAGCAACACATACTTGTTTACTTTCTGTCTTCCATCACGCCCAGACTCACTCTGGTTATTGTCACCTAAGGGTAGATGCCTATATTCCTAATCCCCTTAGGTGTTACGATTACCAAAGATACGGCCATGGCTCCAAATCATGCCATAACCCAGCTGCCTGCCACCGATGTGGTGAGAAATGTGAAGACAGAAACCTCTAATAATCCGTCAGCCTGTGTAGACCGCTCTGGAAGTCATCCTTCATCTTCATCAATGTTCTACATTGAAACATTGAAAACTCTCGGGTTAAGTATAACCTTTTCAGAGGCAAATAAATTCGTCCTGGCTCATGAAAATCCTGGCCCGTCTTATGCTGCAGCCACTTCTGCTAAATGTCAACTCCGCCTCCCGGGTCTATTCCATGTAAATCAGTAGGTTGCCAGACAGAGTACACGTGGGCAAACTCTTCCGCCTGCAGCTTGATATCTGCCGAAACCTACATAACAGACATCCAGTTCACAATCATTCAAAGCATCTTGCAATCATGACTCGTCTTTATCTCAGACCAATTCAGTTCCAAACTGTTAAGCTGACATAAACGAGAAACAAACTGAAGAAAGCAAATTCAAATCTAGACCTGAAACAAATAAAAAGAATCAAAGTGGTAGAAACCCCAAAGGGGCTAATAACCAGGTCCAACTCTTCAACAAGTTTAGATCACTTGAAGCCAAAACCATGGTGGGACACATAGCTTGTCACCCTCGAGGAAGGCGAGGGGTCGATCTCCTGTTACCCTGAAGAGACAACTTCTTCACCTCCAGTACAATGGAATTGAAGAGGACTCAGGACAAATTTGAATGATTTACATCTGTGAGTCCAAGATTTTAGACCGTCAGCATTCTGCTACGGGTCGTTTTGACTTACGTCAATTTAATGCATATCATTATTTTCGGAAGGAATCATGTACTCCCGCAGCTCTATTACACTTAAAACAAATCTCAAGCTGTTGCTGTACGACTTATTTTGCATGTTGCAGTTAAGTTGTACTGTTTGTACATTCCGACTTTATCAACTGTTCAGCTCGTGGAACTTCAAGCTCTGTATGATGAATTTCCTAACACGTGTATAATCATGGGTGATTTAAACGGGCACAATCCACTCTGGGGTGCTGCAACTACAAACGCTTAAGGCAAAATTCTGGAGGATTTCATAAAGAATAATGATTTTTGCATTTATAATGATGGTTCAAATACGTATTTACATCCTGGCACAGGAACTTATTCAGCTCTTGATTTGTCAATTACTGACGCCAACCTATTGATAAAATCTGAATGGTCAGTCCACGACGACCTCTCTGGAAGTGACTATTTCCCAACAATACTAAAAGCCGTGAATCAAGCTGATGTTTCTCCATCGACAAGATGGAACTATAAAAAGGCCAACTGGATTTAATGAAAATCTCTGCACTGACAAACTTGAACCTGAATTTTTCATTAACATTCCTGATGCTATAAAATGCTGTTCTGATGAACAGAATAACATATCTGAGGAGTGTATCCCAAAGTCTTCTACAATTTCTCTTGTACGCAAACCATGGTTTAATGTTGACTGCAAACAGTCTCTCAAGGCACGGAAAAGGCTGAGAATTATATCCACCCCACCCTGTGATCCATAATTTGAACAAATATAAAATTTTAAACGCCCAATCATGGCGGACTTTAAACAAAATAAACGTCAATCTTGGCGAAACTATGTATCAAAAATCAATGCACGTACACCAATTTCTAAGGTATGGAAGTTGATCCAGAAAATCAAAGGTGAGGGCTCTTGATCTAGCATTCACCATCACCATCTGACTGACTGACTGACTGAGTTTTGGTTTTACGCTTAAGGCTAAATTGACTTTGAAAGTTTTGGGACTTACGTACCCTCACAGGAGGACAATAATTGTACGATACTTTAACCCCCTTTGAGGATACAGCCACTTAAAATCGCAGTTGCTGCAAAAGAAGTGGGATACCCAAGTAGTTGTCAATAAACTGCATGAAATTAAATCAACTATTGGTTATACCTACTTGGGTTGTCAGTCCAGATTTGAGGAGATCATTATACAACGTTGTTGTATTGGCCTTTTAAGTGAGTGAGTGAGTGAGTTTAGTATTACACCGCTTTTAGCAATATTCCAGCAATATCATGGCGGGGGACACCAGAAATAGGCTTCACAGAAATAGGCTTCACACATTGTGCCCATGTGGGGATTCGGACCCGGGTCTTCGGCGTAACGAGCCAACACGTTAACCATTAGGCTACCCCACCGCCCCGCATTCACCATCTGAAAAATGGGAATCAATTATTAACTAATAGAACAAATATTGCAAATAAACACTGGCCAAACATTCTTCTTCATCTGATTATGTACCTCAATTTAAAAATTATCACGAATATATTATTTTCAATTCAGATAATGGAGAAGATTACAAAAAAATATTTTTGATTCATGGACTCCGTATTGCTCTTGACCAGGCTCACGATACAGCTAAAGGAGCTGATAACATCCTTTAAGAACTCCTGAAGCACTTACCGGACTCATGTTTGGAGACGCTTCTAAATATATATTTTATGACATCTGGACGTCTGGAAAGTCTGATCATTATAATTAGGACCAGGGTATCCCATAAGGCAGTATTTTGTTGTCGTTTTATTTATCAACAATTTGCCAAATGTTTTAAATGCTTCAATTGATGTATCACTTTTTGTGAATGATTTTAATATTTCTTGTCGTGGAAGAATGATGTATACTATTGAAAGGTACTACATTCGCAGCGCTCGTCACACGTTGCTTTATGCAATGAACAAGAAGTTGCTATTAACAAAATGATTAAGAAGCCGCATGCTAGAATGCCAATGAAACATACAATCATAATTGCTGTTCATAACGTTGTTGTATAATATGTATATATATACAAGCTACTTTAACCGACCTTGTACACCTGAAACATAGTGTATCGAATATATGTAACACAGAACTGAACCAAAACATATAATGTATTGTCTAGTGTCATGATGATATGAATTGTTGAAATTCCTCAAACCGGTCTTGGGGGTAATAACAGAAGTGTATATAGTTTTAGTTTCCTGATCATGAATCAGTTATTGTCATTCTGATGCAAATACCCCAAGCCCAACAAGATCAGATCCAGATCAGTTGATCACACTGATTGCTAATTACCTAAAATAAACAAGAAGTGGCCCACACGCAGGTGTCTCATAAATTATCTGATACAGGTGAAAGGACGGTCAAATACACACTCTCCCAAATAATGAGTCATTACGAGTATTTACACAGGATGGTATTTGTTGGGATAGTTTATTACTACTGTCTAGAACACATGTTTTCTACCCGCATTACGTTATTACACAAACTTTTCACAACATAATGCAGGATTTGAAGAAGTGAAACATTTCAAGTTTTATACAATATGTATATACATGCATCCCTGTCTCAATTCACAACATAATAATATTGTAATCAGAACCCTTGACCTGAACACTCACCACTTGCCTACTACCTATGGAAGATTCGTTCTGTTAGTTCATTCCGGGAAGACGACAACTGTGATGTTTGAAACAACAAATCAGTGGAGCATGCAAGGATTTTCAAGTCGACTGTCTCTGGAGAACAACGGAGGTTCTGTGTGATTTTAAGTACATGGATGATTCTAAATTGTTAACCGGTAAATAAATGAAATACTCCCTCGAACCATTATTTACACCTTAAAATACATATGACATTTTATCCGTGACCATTTTATCGATAACAAATAATTTATATACATTTGAATGTCATTATTCAACTGTAGAAATATATAGTTTAAGTGCAGTTCTTATCTAGGCACATCCATGATATCCGCGATGCAGCATTGCGTTTGTGACTCACTCTAAACATGTATCCATCTATACAGAGATACCTTCCTCCACGTGAGGTTGGAATGAACTTGTACTCTAACTGCTGATTTGCCATTTCGAAAGTAATGCATTGGATTGCGCGGATAAGCAGGAAATATACCCATAATAATTAGTGAGTAAATATCAACAAATAATTAGTGAATTAAAATCAGTGTCAAAGGCAATCAGTAGTAGTGAATCAATGTCAATCAGTCATTTTTTTAAATAAATCAATGTCAATTAATAAGCAGTGAGCTGAAATCATGTTCATATTACAATGCGAGTTGATATCATGAAAATGAACACCGATTTCGTTATGCAGTTCAGTTTATAGTATAACCCACCTCACTAATCCATTAAAACAACATGAGTCTACCTCGGCGAAACATTAACACTGTAATACCAAATGTCGTCTTAAGGGGAAGACACCTAATCCTGATTCGATTATTGTAAGACTGTTTGAAAAATAGCTTCATTGTGGTTTCTAGAGTACACATCTGCCATATACAATGCAGTGTTCCATTGTACAGTTCGAGTGACTATACAAACAATAGAGATACATAAACCATACCAAAGGGACAACGGCACTCATGTGAGAGATGAAATGAATGCAACTTAGCCCAATGAAACTCATGTAATACAGAGTGTGAATAAACGATGTATAAAGAAATAATCAAATTATTTTTATTTTCATTTCGTCTTGATAATATGTTAAAACATGCCTTGTAAGATTTGTGCGGCGATCTACTTCTGGGAACCATTTCCCCTCCCACTTGAAGTTGTTTACAAGAGAAAACAACATCATTTGAAGAAAGTCCATACTGAATTATCCAAAGATGGTGTCTAATATTTTTCAATTAAGATAATTCTGGTAGTGAAATAAAAAATTCTGCCAGAAATTTCTGCGGTAAAAAAAAATTCTGCCAGAAATTTCTGCGGAAAAAATAAATTCTGCCAGAAATGTCTGCAGAAATGCATTTTCAGAGCCAATTTGTGAGCATATGAACACGTGAGCGCACTGGCACATGAACTTTTTGGGTTCATCTCCTCGAGATCTTTTCAATGATATAAATAATGTCTTTGTAGCTCGCTTCCTTCTATGCGTCAAGTTAGGACTCGCTGGCCATTCCTAAGTTGTCCCACCCGGCCTTATATGTTCTCAACTTGATTATGGCTAAATCACTTATGGTGGAGCTTGTAAAAGCAATTTAAAAATACTAAATCCCATTGATCACCAAGGCCTCAGGCTCTGCCTTGGAGCCTTCAGAACTTCACCCATTCAGAGTTTATATGTGGATGCTGATTATTTGTCTTTTAAACAACGTCGAATTAAGTTATCCTTACATAATATTTCTAAATTGCGTTCCCTTAGATCCAATCCAGCCTATGATTGTGCTTTTAATCCTCTAGTTTTATATTTCTAACTGTGATATTGTAGTTGTTTTACCGTCTTCGGCGACAGATTTTATAATATAACATTATAAACTATTTCAGTATGACCTGTTTAAATCACGATATGGATGAAGTGACAATGTGACTGTAAACATTAACTCACTCACACGTCAGTGAAGGAGATCTATATTGAGGTTGATGTTCTGTTTCAGTGGAGAACTTGGTCAGTGTTATTGTAGACCTCTTTGGAGCCGGAACAGTAACCACAGCCACTATCATACTTTGGACACTGGTCTATTTACTGCATAACCCGGATGTACAGGAAAAGTGTTTTCAGGAGATCAAAGAAAACATTGGCCAGAGCAGATTGCCCTCCATGAAAGACAAGATCAACGTGCCCTACGTGGAGGCAACCATTATGGAAGTGTTGAGACGAGCTGATATCGTCCCCACATCACTCCCTCATACAGTTCCCCACGATGTCCAGTTCAGGGGATACACGTTCCCCAAAGGTGTCCCAGTCATAGTGATGCTTGATTCAGTCCTACAAGACCCGGATGTTTGGGGTGACCCAGACAACTTCCGGCCTGACCGTTTCCTTGACGACACTGGCAAGATTGTAAAGAAAGAAGAGTTCATTCCGTTCTCTCTAGGTGAGTATAGTCGCCGGGAAAGACACAGCCCCCAAATGTAATATTTATTTATAATGAAAATGATAGTAAATATATAAATAATTAAAATATCTTGAACTTTACGTTGTTTTATTTTAAAAATTTCCAATAATATACACCGATAAGCAAAAAGAATAGCTCTTTACTGTAGTTGAATTTCGAACAAAATTAATCTATCCTGACTAAATAAATAATAAATAACCAATTACATTATACGCGACTTAAAACCAAATAAAATTCGAGTTTTCACACAGTAGAACGTAAAAACCGTTAAATATTTCTTTATTCAACTTGGCATATAAATTTAGATAGATCTGGTGGTGAACTGGTGCCCTTTAGTAGTTTTGGATATCTGAATAAACTTCTTTTTTTTTTCTTTCCATGGAAACAACATTGACTTTGACTGAAATGGGTGTTAATGCTCCTTTCGGTCTTTTGGTAGTTTTGGATTTCTAAATAATATTTTTTGGCGTTTCCATGGCAACAATTTTGACTTTGACTAAAATTGGTGGTAGTTTGAACCTAATGACATAACTGAACAGTACCACTCTATTTCTGCAGCAGCATTACTGAGGTACATCAAACCGTGGAAGCACTCAGGCAGTCTGTTGTTGATACAAGCATGCTAGTGAATGCATAGTTTACATATGTATGTTTCTGTTAGATCCATGTGAAGAACAATGTAACATTCGAAAGCTTAAAATCTACGTTACGTATCACGGTTCTTTTTGGTTATATTGATCAACATTATATAGAAACGGAATACATGAACTTCTGATGAATTTCAGATGCATGTTTAGGGCTTGAAAGTAAATGATCGGGTAACTGTATGTGAAAAAAGTGTGCTCAAGTCTTTTTGGATGCCAAACTCGAATTTCCACGGCCTACTTTGAGGAAGACTATTGACTTCAAGCAGAATAACGTTAAGGTAAGTAGCAATTTATTACTCATTGAATATCAATTGTATGTGAAGGAAGGATGTTTTTTATGGGCGCTTTGTTGTTTTCTCGGGTATCAGAGATTCATATTATACAAATTATTAATTACCTCAAAATTGAATGAAATAATATTGCTGCAAACTGTACAGAGGAACGTTCTTTTGAATGCTACCTTAAAACTCACATGCACAGATGTGAGCAAAGTAATAACAACCAATTTACCCTTGCCCATGAAACTGCAAGTTGTTCGTGCACTGTTTAAAACGTGTATGTCCTTTCTAACTTAAGCAGAAACGTCAGAATTGTCAATGTCAACACCATCTGCAAAGGTTTATCGGTTAATTTAGAAGGATGCCTGTCCCAGCGGAACTCGTGATGGGTTTATGACCTTTAAGCATACCTAGCCAGGCCCCAAAGACGTCAGTGTGAAAGCAAACGTTATTCAGGTATGTTTAGCTGTTAACAGATATATTCAACAGCCATTATACTCCAAGGTCTTTGTTTCATCTGGCGGTAACTGTAGTTGAACACTTCAAGAATTTATTTAGTGCTTTAATGTTCACTTTCACAAATCATCTTTAATTATATGTGTTAACTGTTGAAAACTCGTTACACATTTTTGAATATCTTTAAAATACACGATCTGTCAATTCTTCCTTCCAGAAATCTTCCATGTCACATTGTCCTCCTGAGAGGATACGTAAGTCCCAAAACATTCTAAGTATATTTAATCTTACCACGTTTTTTATCGCAGAATATGTGTTCTTTTATTTATGGCTAGATCGGCCTAAATTGCTGAAAGCTGAAGGGATGGTGTAAATCCAGCTAGGGTCCATGAAGGAAGCAAATGTACTGTAAGTCCCCATGGTCCCTAGTATAGTGATCTACCTTCAGTTGTCGGCAATCCATAGCCGGTTTTTATATTGTATTGTCTTTTGTAGTTTATATCTTTAAGATATGCATACTAGTTTTATATTCATAACTGATATTCTAGTTGTTTCACTGTCCTTCGTTGACAGGATTTTTATATTTGTCATGTATTTATGATGAAATATGGCTGAAATATTGCTGATGTGACTATAAACCTGAACTCACTCACTCACTCACTCCAGTGTCATGCCACAGACACCTTTGAGGAAATTATTAATTTTCGTGAAATACTGTTTTAAAACGAAACTCGTCTTCCACTGAAGTTGCCTTGGTTTTGGTTAACGAATGTTTAGCCGCGACCTTGTCCGCCCTAACAAATATTCCTGGCGGATATACCTCACATTCGTCTCTTAAGGTATGTTTTATAAATATGTTCATTCATAATTTCTGTTTAGTTGTACGCCCTGTCTATACAACAGTTATGTATGATGCTACATACATTAGTTCAAGAAAATCTATTCTTTAACATATAATGGCATGTTATTTTATCACTTTTTTATTATGTCCCCAGGTTAATATTCACAGTTACTAGTTTGTTACCCATTCGTTCAAGACGATGACCAGCTGAATGTTGAGATGATCACAAGAAGAAAAGTCTGTTGCCTTCCAGGATGGTTATTCTTGATGCTGGATTCACTACTGCTATTATGAATGCAGACTGTTAATACTGCTGTCCAATGCGTTTTTGAAACCACAGCAAAACAGTGACTGTGGTATACGCCATCAGAAACTGCGTACCCTGCCGCAAGAACCTAAGACAGGTGACATCATGCACCTAGGCAAACCAACATGCATGGCGCTTCAAACAACATGAGGATGTAGATAAACGGTCTTCTTGTCACAGCTGAAAGAACTGTTTCTGTGAAATGAGCTATACACCCTTCTGCTCATTAAAGTCAGATACTCCTCGTTCTTCTCTTTCTTACAATCAGTATAGACACACACACACACACGCACGCAGGCACGCACGCACGCACACACACACACACACACACACCTACCTGTCTTTATGTTCCATTCCTGCTTGCCAACGATACAAGAATCTGTATCGAAACGTCACACTCACGAAATAAAGAAGTTGTTATCCATAAAGATTGTTCAATGTTCCCAGCTTCTAAAATACCACTCAAAGAAGTTCGTCGTGTTATCATTAATGTTTCAGTATAATCCTTTCAGATTGTCTTTCTAAAGTACTTCAACCCCTTTTCCTGAAAGGTATGGATGTATTACATGTATTAGTTGAAACGCAAAGATTTTAAATGTTTCAGGTCGAAGGGTTTGTCTGGGTGAGTCGATGGCCCGGATGGAGTTGTTCCTCTTCCTGACCACCATGATCCAGAGGTTCAAGTTCGTACCAGTGGATGGCCAGATGCCTTCCTTGGATGCAATCATAGGCTTAACGTATTCTCCAAAACCATTCCTCGTGAAAGCCATTCCTAGGATGTAATCGTTTTAAGTTAATGAGAGAGAAGGATGAGAGAGAGAGAGATTAAGATAAGAGATGGAGGACCCAGATCGTGTTAAGATAAACTCGTAAACTCGCTCGTTCACACGAGTTTGAACACCGCTTTGACATCGTTCATTTTTTCAGTGCAAACACACAAACTGACATTCAATTCTTATAATTTCGCAATTTGAAGTATACACATACGTTTTCCACCCACTTGTAGATGATCATTGTTTAGTGTGTTTTAATACCTGTAAAATGTTGTAATGCCATTCGGTTCAAGAACGTACGTATTGCAGCGATGTTTGTATACACAGCGATTTTTCTTTTACACATGTATCCCAACCCTTGAAGAAATAGTTCTCAAAGTATTCGATCTTTAAAATATAACAACAAATTCGTTATGAGGTTTGAAACTGCTTTAATAAGTATAATCAATAACAGTATCAAACAGAAACAAATATCAGAAGCAATAACAATACCATTTTAACTAACTGGCATTGTACCTTTTCACTTGTAAATACCTTGTTTGACCGCGTAATAATACACTGACCGACTTCGAAGTTGTGCGGCGTGGCGAATAGGAAACAGATCTTGTTGTATTCTATTTATTTGTGATTGTTTATTGTGAAATTTATTGAGCAGTTGTTAAACAGACCTCGGGGCAGAAAACCGCCGGATGAACCCGCAAACTGCGAGACATTAAACTCCTGTGAAAAGGAACAATGTTCGGCAATCCGTTTGGTAGTGACATTGCCAAACTTGGGGTGACTTGAAACAGGTTCGTTCGCGAAATTGGTATCACCAATTATTGGGGGTCCTTGAAATCGAAGCGAAAAACGTTCACACACGTATGAACGGTGTTCACACAAGTATGAGCGATTAGAGGGGTTCAAGAGTAATGAACCTTGAAATTTAGATCACATGACCGCTCTCTCAACCAACCAACGTTCGGGAATCTGTGTAAACTTGAAAGCACGAAATTATTATAAATTATATTACATCCCCGAATACAAATGACAGGAGGTGGCATCACAGCGGTACGCTACATCGACCAAGTTCTCAGACCCCACGCCATACCACATTTCGCACGTCACCGGAACAACATTTTCCAGCATGGTAACGCCCGGGCCCATACTGCCAGAGCTACTCGGGACTTCCTACAGCAGAACGGTGTCAACATTATGCAGTGGCCAGCCCTTAGTCCTGATTTAAACCTAATGGAACATCTTTGGGATGAAATTCAGAGGAGACTGAATAATGTCATACCAAGGCCGATTTATTGCGCCAGGCCTTTCTCAGAGTGTTGTTCCAGGTTCCAATGGCCTTCATCAATCGAGTGGTGCACTCCATGCATAGACGCTGTGCTGCTGTTATTGCCGCTCGTGGTGGCCACACTAGGTACTGAAGTCAAGAGTCTGAATGGAATGCAAACATTCACCTAATGTCCTGAAATTATGCTGAGTTATTCATTGATGTGTCAAAATATTGTACAAAACAAATGGTTTTGATCCGCTTATTATGTCCATTTCTGTAATGATTTGATGACAGTGCCTTTCTGATTTTGAATTCGTATCGACCTTTTTTTGCTGCTGAGTATATGTGTAATGTTAATTGCCCATAAAGTTGTAACTATGTCACAATGTACTTTCTTTAAACTTTAGATACCGAGAAAGAACTACCTTTATTGTGTTGTTACTGAAGCATGGGGATTTCAACGACTGTTTAGAGAAGGTTCGCTTATTAGCGTGAGGAAATTCTTGTGTGTCGCGAATTGTATGATTTATGGAGAATGTGGAAGATAGTTGTTATGTAATTGATCAATGACATATATTTTAAAGAATATTTTCTATTTTAAAGAATCTAATATAGTACTATATATTTCACATGCATTAGCTAAACGAAATAACCTAACAACGTGTTTTGTCTTATGGCTAACATTTATGATTTTATTCATACTCCTTCTATGCATAACCATGAGAGGGTATGTAAATCCACTTAATTCACAGAATACTCATATCTACCCCCGTTTTTTGTCGTAGGATATTTGTTCTTTTTAGGTAAATGGCTAACATTACGTACAATCACCAGCAGCTGAAGGGATGGTATAACTCCAGCTTGGGTCCATGCAGGAACAAATGTTCTGTAAGTCCCGATGGTCCTTAGTATGGTGATCTACCTTCAGTTGATGGCGATACTCAGGCAAATCCAATTTTAGAGATAGATGCTAGTTTTTATTCTTGATACTGTGATATTCTAGTGGGCTTTACTGTCCTTCAGTCGACAGGTTTTCAAATTAATGCATTTATCATGAATTTATAACTATTTTTAGTCACGATATGGCTGAAATACTTCCATGATGACTATAGGTCAAGGTCTCTTGTATACGGGCTGGACACCTTTCGTAGAATACAGAATAAACTTCTTGTGGCCCTGATATTTGTGAACTGTTTCTATTATCTTACCTTCATGTAAAATACTTTAATTTCATTGGTCAATGACGCTTTAACAAGTTTCCGTGTCACCCCTCCCAGGAGGGTGACAACTGGAAAAAATATTACCCGCTGCCACGGTAACCGCCAAACTCTCCGCCGGGAAGCTGTATCGCTAACAATCGTATAACGTTATAATATGACGCACGCAGTGCATTGAGTTCGAAAACCGTTCGATTAGTTGTTTTCGAGTTCACTATGTACACATTTATTTTACCGACTGTCATTGCTTTATTTATACTATTTCTACATTGAATCGTTTGCACTCTCAACTTAAACATCAATAACCATTTTTATAGCAGTGTTAAGCTTGTCAGAATGCTTCACTGATTTTAAAAATCCAGTCGAGAAACAGACGCCATTTTGTTTTACATGTCATTTAGTCGGTAGCGATCTTTAAAATAAAATAAAATGATATTTTGTACATTTAACATGGCGGTAAGATAAATACGTTGTATGTTTCTCCCTCAGTTAATACGGTCTGATGTACGCCTACCGGCTCGGGTTACACTGCTACAAAGAAGCGTACATCAGACCGTATTACCCTCGAGAGAAGCATACAGCTTATATTATATCGGCTGATGCGTGTTGAAAACCATGTTGAGGAATTGGATGGTCACAAGTAACCTGACACAACGGAGATACACCAGCAGGGAACGAGTTGTTTGAATTCTAGAAACATTCCAGGAATATGACTGCAGAGAAAACTCCTCCATTACTATTACCGTTCCAACATCCTCAAAATGGTCCCGTGTAGGTCTATGATACTCACCTGATGTTAACAGAGACTGTCTTGTCTGGTACCGTATGCACTTCATGGAAACAGAGTAGGTTTAGTCCAGTGTGATATGCACCTGTCAGTAACAGATACTCAAATCACCTGCAAAATGTGCCTGATGATGACAGAGAGAAGGTCTACTTAAGTGCAATATGTCCCTGATGATAACAGATAATGGATCTAGTCTAGTGCAATATGTGCCTGATGATACCAGAGACAAGGCCTACTCTAGTACAATATGTGCCTGATTTTATCGTAGACAAGGAATACTCAAGTGCAATATGTGCCTGATGATAACAGGTAATGGGTCTAGTCTAGTGCAGTGTGTGCCTGATGATAAAAGAAAATGGGTCTAATCTAGTGCAATATGTGCCTGGTGATAACAGATAATGGGTCTAGTCTAGTGCAATGTGTGCCTGATTATAACAGGTAATGGGTCTAATCTAGTGCAATATGTGCCTGGTGATAACAGATAATGGGTCTAGTCTAGTGCAATGTGTGCCTGATTATAACAGGTAATGGGTCTAGTCTAGTGCAATGTGTGCCTGGTGATAACAGATAATGGGTCTAATCTAGTGCAATGTGTGCCTGATGATAAAAGAAAATGGGTCTAATCTAGTGCAATATGTGCCTGATGATAACAGATAATGGGTCTAGTCCATTTCAATGTGTGCTTGATGATAACAACATATAACGGGTCTAGTCTAGTGCAATGTGTGCCTGGTGATAACAGATAATGGGTCTAGTCTTCTGCAATGTGTGCCTAATGACAACACATGATGGGTCTAGTCTAGTGCAATGTGTGCCTGATGATAACAGGTAATGGGTCTAGTCTTGTTCAATGTGTGCCTGATGATAAAAGAGAATGGATATAGTCTAGTGCAATGTGTGCCTGATGATAACAGGTAATGGGTCTAGTCTAGTGCAATGTGTGCCTGATTATAACAGGTAATGGGTCTAGTCTAGTGCAATGTGTGCTTGATGATAACAGATAATGGATCTAGTCTAGTGCAGTGTGTGCCTGATGATAACAGATAATGGGTCTAGTCTAGTGCAATATGTGCCTGGTTATAACAGAGAATGGGTCTAGTCTAGTGCAATGTGTGCCTGATGACAACAGAGAATGGGTGTAGTCTAGTGCAATGTGTGCCTGATGATAACAGATAATGGGTCTAATCTAGTGCAATGTGTGCTTGATGATAACAGATAATGGGTCTAGTCTAGTGCAGTGTGTGCCTGATTATAACAGGTAATGGGTCTAGTCTAGTGCAATGTGTGCCTGATGATAAAAGAGAAATGGTCTAGTCTAGTGAAATGTGTGCCTGGTGATAACAGATAATGTGTCTTGTCTAGTTCAATGTGTGCCTGATGATAACAGGGAATGGATCTAGTCTAGTGCAGTGTGTGCCTGATGATAACAGATAATGGGTCTAGTCTAGTGCAATATGTGCCTGGTTATAACAGAAAATGGGTCTAGTCTAGTGCAATGTGTGCCTGATGACAACAGAGAATGGGTCTAGTCTAGTGCAATGTGTGCCTGATTATAACAGGTAATGGGTCTAATCTAGTGCAATGTGTGCTTGATGATAACAGATAATGGGTCTAGTCTAGTGCAATGTGTGCCTGATTATAACAGGTAATGGGTCTAGTCTAGTGCAATGTGTGCCTGATGATAAAAGAGAATTGGTCTAGTCTAGTGCAATGTGTGCCTGGTGATAACAGAGAATGTGTCTCGTCTAGTTCAATGTGTGCCTGATGATAACAGGGAATGGGTCTAGTCTAGTG